AAGGCTGCAAAAGACTGGATCAAATATCATGTCGGAGCGTTCTCAGATGACCTCCTAGATGGCCCAAAGAGGGTCTGACATGCCTCCAAGTCTGCCCAAGAGGCCACCAATACGGCCAAAGATGGCCTCAAGATGGCCCAAGAGGCCCCCCAGAGGCCTCCCTCCAAGACGGCCCAACAGGCCTCCAAGAGGGCCTCCAGGAAGGCCCGAAGAGGCCAAAATAACTGATTAGCCTTAGGATGTTTGAAGGAGTTTGGCATTTGCTTCGTTTCGGCCTTCCGACTGCCCGAGACGGCCCAAGAGCAACCAAAGATCGGCCCACGATCGCCCAAGAGGCCTCCAAGACTGCCCCAAGGAGTCCAAAGAGGCCCCCCAGACGCCCAACATGGCCTCCAAGACGGCCCTTGAGCACCCAAAGAGGGCCCCAAGTCGGTCCTTCAGAGGCCCCAAAGACGGCTTGCGACGGCGTCAGGCGGGCCAGGAGCCCACCAAGGCGGCCCAAGATGGCTCCAAGAGGCCCAAGACGGTCCACGAGCCCTCCTAGCGGTCTCCAAGACGGCCCAAGAGGCCTCCAAGAGGGCCACCAGGAAGGTCCGAAGAGGCCAAACTCATTGACTGTCATTCGGTTCGTTGACGGATTGTGGCATCTGCTTCTTTTTGGCCAAGAGACGGCACAAGAGCCCCCAAAGATCGCACCAAGATCGCCCGAGATGCCTCCAGGATGGCCCCAGAACGGCCGAAGAGGCCCCCAAAACGGGCCCGGGAGGGTCCCAAGACGGCCCAAGAGGCCCCCAAGATGCCCAAGACAGACTCCAAGACGACCCTGGAGCGCCCCAAGAGTGCCTCAAGTCGGCCCAGGGAGGCCCCCAAGACGGTTTCCAACGGCGCCAGACAGGCCAGGACTGCCCTAAGACGGCCAAGAAGGCCCCCGAGAAGCCCCCAAGTGCCCCCAAGAGGCCCAAGGAGGCCCCCAAGAAGCCTCCAAGAGGCTCCCAGGAAGCTCCCAGGAGGCCCCAAGAGTGACCCCAGAGACTCTCAAGATGCCCCCTCCTCCTGCTCCTCCTGATCTTCCCCGCCATCCCCCTTCAAGTGTTCCCCGAAAGTTTCTACAACGGCTGGGGTAACACATGGTTCGATAGCTTGGCAGAGCTCTTGCCACCACGCTCGGCCACATGGGCGATTCCCAAAGGCAGGGGGCGGCGGCGATTCGCCGTACGCGTCGTCGAGACGCTCCAGGAATTCCAAAACGTATCTAGTGGCCCTCGCTTTTGGAGCCCGTGTCGGATGCGAGAAAGCTGGGAGATCCAGGAAATCTTGGAACGTATCAGTAACCCTGAGATGCAATGATACCCCAACGTTTTATCACTAGCACTCGCATGTGATCGAGCGAGGGGGGTGATATCGTTCAGCACCCCAGCAGTGTAATTCATGTGATACTTCCGCGGGGGCGCCCGATGGGGGAGTTCCACGGTTGGAGTCTTGAGACTGGGATCCGATCCCGTTGCGGATCTCCCTGAGCCTCATCGGACGCCGAGCGGAAGCCGAGTGGGATCTTGCCGGGGTCATGCCGCAGTCCTCCTGGGCTCTCGCTGGCCCACCCCTGGGCTCCCACGGGGGATCCTCTTTTGTGGGCTCGAAGGCGGATGTCCCGGAGCGTGGCGTAATGCCACCTCCGTGGGGGGGCGAGGCGCGGTGCCGCTGCACCGGAGACTGGGTCGGGCACGTTTTCCTACCATGGGGGTCCTGGACGACACGTAAGGCATAGTCACAAAGATTCAAGCACAGCCAGAAGACGCAAAACATCACACCTGGTCTATTCTTGTAACAAAATGACTCTACGACCACCCTTCGGGTGATAGGGAGGTTGTGGCGGGGGGGGGAGAGGAGGGGGGCCAACATCTGACTCAATCGTTCTCACTGTCGATCTCGCTCAACGGGACACCACGGGACACCACGGGACACATGTCGATCTGACTATCGATCTCACTCAACGGGACACCACGGGACACCACGGGCAACCGCGGAGAACCACGGGACACCGCGGGACACCTCTCGATCTCACGATCGGTCTTACTGTCGATCTCGCTATCGATCTCACTCAACGGGACAACAATGGACACCACAAGACACCACGGGACACCACGGCAAACCCCGGGACACCACATCGATGGGGGGAAAGGGGGGTAAACATCATCTGACTCAATCGATCTCACTATCAATCTCACTCACCCGGACACCACGGGACACCACGGGACACCACGGAACACCACGGGACACCGTGGGACACTTGTCGATCTCACGATCGATCTCACTATCGATCTCACCCAACAGGACACCACAGGACACCACGGGACACCACAGGACACCACGGGACACCACGGGACACCTCTCGATCTCACTATCGATCTCACTATCGATCTCACTATCGATCTCACTCAACGGGACACCACAGGACACCACGGGACACCACGGGACACCTAGGGGCACCACATCGATCTCAGAATCGATCTCACTATCGATCTCACTATCGATCTCACTCAACGGGACACCACAGGACACCACGGGACACTTGTCGATCTCACTATCGATCTCACTATCGATCTCACTTTTTGGGACACCACTAGACACCACGGGACACCTCGGGGCACCACACCGATCTCAATATCGATCTCACTATCGATGTCACTCAATGGGACACCACGGGACACCACGGGACACCACCTGACACCACGGGACGCCGCGAGCCACCGACGGACGGACGGACGGTCGGGCGGGGAAGAATCATTTGTCGTGACTCCGCTCTAGCAACGGCGGACACCACGGGACACCACGGGACACCGCGGGACACCGCTCAAGCCACCGCCGGACGGACGGAGGAGAACCATTTGTCTCGACTCCGCCCTAGCAACGGCGGACACCACGGGACACCACGGGGCACTGCGGGACACCGCTAGGGCCACCGACGGACCGACGGACGGACGGACGGACGGACGGGGGAGCAACATCTGTCTTGACTTCGCCCTGGCAACGGCGGGTTCATTCCTCTCGCGCGCCCACGCAGCTTCGCCTCGCCCGCACGCACGACACGAACGAAACAAAACGATTCCTGGTTGGGGGTCTCCGTTCCACTGCGACCTCACCCACCAACCTTCGATGTTTGAACATGCCTCCTGTAGAAGGACGTGCCAGACTTAAGACGAAGACGGAGGGGGGGCGATACAGTCAACCCGTAGAATAGGGATGCGCGGCAAGGATGCAAGGGCCCTGTACGCTCGTGGCGGGGCTCTTCGAGCGGGGCTGGCCATCGAAAGTGGTTGAGCATGGGCCGAAGATGACCGAAGAGGCAGGGATACAAGGGCACCCTTGGGTAATCGATCATCCTACTGTGCGGGTTGAACTGGGGAAACCGAAAGGTACCGATGCCGCTATTCCCCGGACCTCTCCTGGGGTGCGCTTTGACCAGGACTTCGAGGCGAATCCAGCGGTGGCGACGAGGACCTCCCAGGATGGCCAAAAAGGGGGAAACGTGAGAAGGGCAGAGGTGTGGGTATGTCTTCCTTCTCGAGGGGAACAAACAGTGACATAAATATAACAACTAGGAGGTCCGCGCGGACTTCTCGGATCCGCGCTGGACCCCCCTCCCTGGCGCGCGGAGCGTGCCAGGGGCCCCCGCCCCGGGGGGGTGGGGGGGGGGGGGGGTGGGGTGTGGGGGGGGTGTGGGGTGTGGTGTGGGTGGGTGGTTTTGTGTGTTTTGTTTTGTGTGTGTTTTTTTTTTTGTTCCCCGGGTGTGGTTGGGGTGTGTTGTTGTGTGTGGTTGTTTTTTTGTTTTTTTTTTTTTTTTTTTTTTTTTTTTTTTTTTCCCCACCCCCCCCCCCCCCCTTTTTTTGTTTTTTTTTGTGGGTGGTGGGGGGGGGGGGTGTTGTGTGTGGGGGGGGGGGGGGTGTGGTGGGGGGGGGGGTGGGGGGGGGGGTGCCCCGGGGGGGGGGGGGGGGGGCCGCCGAGGCGCCGCGGCCGGGGAGGGGCCCCAGCGCCGATCCGAGAAATCCGGTGCGGCGGACTCCGACGTTGTTTCGTGTGCACGGGGATATGGCCTCCGCGTTCTGAGCAGTGCATCCCAATCTCTCCTCCTCTCCCCCTCTTCCTTCCTCTCCTCCTCCTCCTCCTCCTCCTCCTCCTCGTCCTCCTCTTCCCTCCCCCTTCCCCTTTTCCACCCCTCTCCTCCTCCTCCTCCTCTCCTCCCCTCTCCTCGCCATCTCCTCCTCCTCCTCCTCCTCCTCCTCCTGCTCCGCCGCGGACCTCGCCAGCGCCTGCTGCTCCGCCGCGGACCTCGCCAGCGCCTCCCGCAGCTCCCGGGCCTCCCTCGCGGCGCGCGCCGCCTCGCCCCGGAGCGAGGCGCGGGAGGCCTCCAGCGCGGCCGCCAGCGGGTCCTCCGAGTCGCCGTTGTAGGCGCTGACGTTCGAGGAACAAGCAGGTGCACAAACTTCGGTGGCAGCTCATCGGCCTCGGCTTTCTTATAGCTCGGCGTCGGAAGCCCCACCCTGGTGCGCGGAGCGCGCCAGCGGCGGCGCTGGAGTCATGTTGCTCCCATGGAACTTAGACCACACCCAAGAAATAATTTGGAGCACCCAGAGAAGTATCGAAACAATGTCGAGCGAGTATCGCCTCCTGGGGCCTGACAGGTGAAAACCCTGCAGTTTCGGTGCTTGTTTGGTGTTCGGAATTCTTTCTGGTGGTCAAGGCTAGGGTAGGCTGGAGCATCAAAACGCTGGAGGCGCCAGAGCAAGGGGGGCCTCGCGCCGACCCTCGAACTCCGGTGCGCACCTCCGAAGGAGTGCAGTCACAACGTGTGGGAAAGGAAGGCTGTCAAGGACGCAAACAGAGCCCGCGGAGGCCGAAGTTGGGGCATTGCTGGGCGGCGGGCGGCCAGTGAGAACGGCACCAAAGGGCGGGCCGCAGCGGCAAGGACACAACGGCACCCGAGATGAAGCTGCGCGCCCCGACTATGGGCGCGTTGGCTGTATAGCTACGCCGTGTTTCTTCCTCGAGATGGTCCACAGCACGGCGTCAACGACTGCCTGGTCCTGGCCTCCCTGCGCGCCGGCGGCGCAGCCGGAGCCGCGGCCATGCATGGCGGCCGAGACGCGCAGCGCGTGCTCCAGCTGGGCATCCTCGTCGTCGCCGTCGTCGTCATCCTCATCTGCGGCGCCGCCGTCGCCGCAGTCGCTCAGGACCTCGTTGGCGGAGAGCACATCCGCATCCGCGGCCTCGCGAGCCGGGCCCCTGGGCCGCGACCCCGCGGATGCGGGGCGTTGCTTCGCGGACGCCCCGCGCGGAGCGCATGTCCGTGCGACCGTGTGTGTATATATATATGTGTATATATACATAAATATATATACTATATATATATATATCTATATATATGTCTATATATATATATATATATATATATATATATATCCGCGGGATCGCGCCCCGGAATCCAAACCGCGAGGACGCGGAATTGGACTCCGGAAACGGTTCGGATAGAATGGATGCAATGCCCAAGATAGAACGCTGCCCAAAACCGACAGCGGCCGCTGTTGGGCAGGCGGCCTCCTGTCCTGCAGGGGCAACGCCCGCTGCGACACCGACAGCGAGGCCGGCTCCAAAACATGAAGAGGCATGTTGTCGGTCTTCGTAACGACGTGCCCACTCTTTCCGCACCCACTACCAGGCGTACCGAGCGGATACGGATGTGTTCGCTGCTCGTGGGACCTCCACGGTGTCCGAGTCGGAGTCGGCTCCGGCTGCTGGGCCCTGGGCGGAGCTGGGGGCCGCGCCCGGCCCCTCGGCCGCGCCGGAGCTGGCGAGCGGCGGGCAGGGCGCAGCCGCGTCGGCAAGCGGCGGCGGCTGCTCCGACGAGGCCTTCTTGGGCTCCTGCTTGTCGCGCCGCTTCGGCATCGCTGCCATGTCCGCGGCCATGTTCTTCTTGTACTCCTCCGGCGTGGTGGACGGGATCACGGCGCCCCCCATGGGGCGGAAGTGGATCTCGAGCGTCTTCATCATGGTCTTCTGCTTCGGCTTGCCAGTCAGCTCTGGGAACATCTCGTGGAGCCGCACGGCTGCCTGATGGTAGCGCGTTCCCTTGTGCAAATATTTTCTGACGGGGAGGCGGGGCGCTTGTCCCCCCACTCGAGTGCTCGCTCCAGGGTGTACACTTCCTTGTGGGAATCTCCTCCGTTGGGCTCCTTTCACAATGCTCCCCCTCATGGCGGTATCTTCCCATTGCGCGAACGCCGGGATACGGGGGTCTACGCTTGCAGAGTAGGGCGAGAATGATGTCATGATAAGGTTGGCTCAGGATACGTTCCAAGATCTCCACAGCATCTAGCGGTGCAGCCTGTGCGGCACATGCAAAAATATGGGAAATCCTGGGAAACGTGGAAATCCTGGAACTTACCGTTCTCATGACCTCTCGGAGCCCAAACATAGGCGGACAACAACAGCAACAACAACAACAACAACAATTACTAGCACGTGGGGACACTCCGTTCTCACCAGTGCCAGGGTTTTCATACGACGCCCGCCAATACCACCACTTTGTGGGGGGGCCGGTTCAAGCTCTACCACATTTCCAAACGACTCTTCGCCACCACCCACACCCAGCTTCCCGCCCTATGACGTTCGGACACTTCACTTCGTGGCCTGCGGACGACCGTGGCTACTACACTGGCGTGGAGTACACACCCACAGAAGTTGTTAGGACAGCGCGCGCGGGTAGAAATTTTGAAAAGTCGTGCAGGTGTTTTTTCGAGGACCTACGGTGCGATTCGTGTGATTTTATGATGCGCGGTGCTAAAATTCTTAAGAAGCCCAATGGTTTTTGGAGATTTCGGCGTGCGCGCGCGAAGAAAAAACGAATGTGTCCCGCATGGTATTATTTGACAGGGATGATGGCCCTGGCAGGTGCGCAACCGTTGTCGCAGAAGTTCGAAAAAGTTGCTCGCAAAAGCCAGTTTGACAGAAATGTTTAAAAAGTGTTGGTTTTCCTACGAATCCGCAAGAGCGCGCGGGATGAGATTTTGACATTTTTTTGTTGAAAAACCATTGGTTTTTTGATGTTTTTATGTTAAAATCGCTGCGAACACTAAGGTTTTGGAAGGATTTCGTCTTGCGCGCGCGCGAATGTCCACTTTACCTTATTTTTTGCAAGGGATTCTTGAAATTTGATCAACTAAGAACAAGAATTTTCATTTTATAGTGTTTTTTGCAAGGGAAAACGAGCGTCAACAAAAAACCGGATCCGGTACTAATCCACTTTTCTGAAGCTTTCGCTAGAAAATGAAGGAAATGAGGCTGCGGCCTAGGTTTTGGAGGGGGGTCGTGCACCAGGGGTCCCAACAATAATTATTCTTTAGAAGTAATAATGTTCAACAACAACAACAACAACAACAACAACAACAACAACAACAACAACAACAACAACAAACGCCACTAACAAATATTTGGCGCTCCGAGCGGATTTCTTGGTTCCGCGCTGGACAGCCCTCCATGGCGCGCGGAGCGCTCCAGCGGCGGCTCCGAAGAAGCCGCCGGGGGGGCCCAGCGCGGAACCAAGAAATCCGCGCGGAACGTCAAACATTTATGTTCATGCCGTTTCTCTTTATTGAAAAAAACCACAAGACAGCCCAAGAGGCCCCCAAGAGGCCACAAGAAGGTCCCGAATCGCCAAACCATCGGTTCAAGACGCCAGGGATGGCCTCCGGACAGCCCAAGCGGCTTCCAAGACGCTCGAAGGGCCCTCCCAGAGCACACCAAAGCGAGCCGCAACAGGCAAGGTTCAATCATTTTCTTGTGGGTGTTGGAAAGGTTCTGGCGTTCGCGCCACTTCCCGACGCCCCCAAACGGCCCAGCATGCCACCAAGATCGGCACAAGAGGCCCCCAGGAGGTTTCCAAGACGGCCCCGAAACGACCCCCCCAGACGGCCCAAGAAGGCACCAAAACGGCTCCAACAGGGGGGCCCACACGGGAGCCCGAACGAGCATTTCGAGCCCTCGGCCCCGAGAAGCTCTCGGGGGGCCCTAAAAGGCCCCCACGAGGCCCCAAGAGGCCCCCCCACGAAGCCCGAAGGGACCCCCAACAGGCTCCCAAGAGGCACCCAAGATGCTCCCAAGAGTTCTCCTGAACTGCCTCCCTCCCACCGCGATCCGAAGATGCCCCACGACGCATTACGGAGGACTCTGCTCCACGATGACCGCGGACGACTCTGCACGAGGAAGCTTACGGTGGAGCTCCCTACTTTTGGGTGCGCGAACCCGTGTGAGAGGTGTGCCGAATCGTGCGCTGGTAATTACGCCATGCGGACCCTGCCGCTGGAGCTTTCGGTGGAGCTCCCCTGTGAGACCACGAAGCGTGTGAAAGGGTGTGCCGAAACAGGAGCGAGAGTACGCCATGCGGACCCTGCCGTTGAAGCTTTCAGCGGCTCTCCCGATGAGGCCACGAGTCGTGCGAGGGTGTGCCACATCGGGTGCGGGTGCGCCATGCGGACCCTGCCGCTGAAGCTTTCGGTGGAGCCCCCTACGCGTGCACGAACAGTGTGAGGCGTGTGTTGGATCGGGCGCGGGTACGCCATGCGGACCCTGCCGCTGAAGCTTTCGGTAACCTTGTGCGCTTGATAATAACCCCCTGCCCATCTGGAATCGAGCCCCGAAGGCTGTGGTAGAAGTGAGACAAAGCGACGGGAGCACATGCCAGTCCTGCCTCGCGCTCCTGCGTCTTGCGGCGCTCGTTGACCGTGGCGGTGCTCTCACCCGGCGTCCCGAAGAGGCTCTGGAGCCCACCCTGATTCTGAAAGCAGCGCGTGCTCCCACAATACATGCGGTATCGCAACACTCTCCTGTCCTTGCGGAAGTACCGCAGCGAACGCTCCGCATCCTCAGTGGCGTCCGCCACCGTCGGAAGCAGGTCTGTGTCGTGGCGGTTTATGAAACAGTAGAAGAAGCCGTTCACCTCGCCGTTCCTGGTGGAGATCCCGTCCATGAACATGCTGAGCGAGTTCTTCGACACCGTGCTGGCCAAGCCGCAGATGAAGGCCCGGTACGTCTTCATGCGGTGGAAGGCGTCGAAGATCAGGCTCTCCAGCGCCCCGTGCGGCAACGGAAGGAGCGGGGAGCCCTGTGGGCGGTTCTTCCACAAAACGTCGCTCACGTCGTCGTCGATTGAAACGATGTGCGCCCTCTCGGGGAAGTACTTCGTGACCCGCTGGCCCCCCGCTGACCGCGGGAAACAGGGCGGTGTGAGATGCTTGGCCGTTCCCGTGCCCCCTGTTCAGATTGTTCTTGTGTGGAGAAGGGGGAGAAGACGGAAGAAGAGGGAAGGGAACACCGCGACGCATCGCAGGTACACCCGTGCATGCCGCTGCAGAAGGCGGCAAGGCCGGTCTCAGGCTGCATGCCATCGCAGGGTGGATTCCAAAAAGGCAGCCGCAGGAAGAGGAGCGAGCGAGAGACGAAGGTCGAACAGCTGGCCAGAATTCTGTCCTGCAGGATGTGGTACGTTCCACCACGTACGTCGCCTGGGCAAGTTCCCGAATCAAACACACACGCAGAGAAAGCCGACACCGAATCCAGATCGAACTCCCACAAGCCCAGGACAAGAACGACTCAGGACAAAAAGTACTCTGCAGGGGGGCTGCGAAACCATCAGCGTAAGGAGGTCACCAAGGCGGCCCACAATTTTTACCTAGATAGCCCAGAGCAGGAGAGCCCATAATCGAATCGATGAGTAGAATCGGCGATCGAAGCGAATCGGATCGGCGGAAATCGCCGAGTCGGGAGAAGTCGAATCGGCGAACATCGGAAGGCTGGTAAGCCCTCGTTAAGAAAGCGGAATCCAAATCGGAGTCCAAAGCTGGATCGAATCGTAATCGGAAGCCATCGAAATCGAACCGAATCGAATCGGAAGAATCGAAACGAGCCCTGCCAGGGATGCTCCAAGATCGCCCGAGAGGGCCAGAACTCCCTATGATCATGGCCTCCACAACGGGCCCCATTCGTTCAATACAGTGGAGGCCAGTCCACAAGAAACCTTCCACAAGAAACCCAACCCTGAAACCCCAGAACGTCCATGGATTTCTGGTATGGGAGCGTCGCGCTTCTCCGTAGCAAAACCATCAAAACCCAAGAAGCCCAGGGCACCCTGGAGGCAAGCAGGGTGTTTCTTGGCACGGGTCTCCGCTGCATTGCTCCAAAGATTGCTTCCAAAGTCTCTGGGAAGCTTTCGCACAGAGGCCCAGGACGGGCCCGAACATCTCTTGGCGAGCGGCCACTCGAAGCTCAAGCCCGCAGTCCGCCTCATCCCCCCGCACTCCTCCTCGTGGCTCGCCTCCCCCCTCCCTCCTCCTTCCCCCGCCTTCCTCGTTTTCCTCTGCACTGGTTTGCCCTTCCTCTTCCACCTCCTGCTCCTCCCTTCTCTCGGGAGGGAGAAGGAACATCAATGCCAGCATTCTCCTCTGCACTGGTTTCCTCTTGCTCCTCCTCCTCCTCCTCCTCCCGCTCCTCCCCTCTCTTCGGGAGCGAGGAAGGAACATCAGTGCCACGCTGCCAAAAGGGTCGCCCGTCGGCGTGCTACTTCCTTGTCTTGGTCCGAGTGCCTGCTTTCCCCCAAGGTGCTCCTCCTCCTCCTCCTCCTCCTGCTCCTCCTCCTCCTCCTCCTCCTCTTCCTCCTCCTCCTCCTCCTCCTCCTCCTCCTCCTCCTCCTCCTCCTCCTCACCTCCCCCCCCTCCCCCTCCTCCCCATCCTCCCCCTCCTCCTCCTCCTCCTCCTCCTCCTCCTCCTCCTCCTCCTCCTCGCACGGCGCTGCGTTGCTTGCCATTGCTTCGCACGGCGCTGCCTTGCTTGGCACTGCGTTGCACTGCTTGCTCGGCGTTGCGTGGCCTCGCGTTGCGTTGCGTTGGGTTGCACGGCGCTTTTTCACCGCACCGAGTGCCCCACCCGGATTGCACCGCCTGGATTGCACCACCTGGGCTGCGCTGCGCAGGCTGCAAGAAGCCACTGTTTGGGGCCCGCGCTGGCTGACATCTCTTCCGCAGCAGTCAACACGCTGCCGGACCCCCCACGGCGGCGTGCCGTTGCTACTACGTCTGCCTTTGCTCCCCGACTCTCCCCCGCCTCGGCCTCTCCTCTGCAGGACCATGGAAGACCGACACCACCACCACCAGGGACCACCAGCGGGAGGAGCCAGGTGTGGCCCCCCCCTCCCGCTCGAGACATCCCCAAACCATCCCCAGCTCGGGGAGGCATCGTGGACCTCCTCGCTGGAGGTGGTGGCCCCCTGGTGGTGTTGGTGTCGCTCCTCCTTCCCCCAAAGCCTGGGGACCCCGAGCGCCCAGGACCGCGCCGAGAGATTCTCTCTCTCCCCGCGTGCACGGCAGACGGCGCCAGCCTGTGCGATGAAGTTGCGCTGCTCGCGGATGCCGCGCACGCCGGCCACGATGCGGGTCCCCTCCCAGCCGGTGCGGGCCAGCGCAGACCGGTATCTCGACGCCTCCTCCAGAAGGAAAAACACACAGCAAATACACAAACTGTCGACGGTCGTTCGCGCGGATTTCTTGGATCTGCGCTGAACCCCCCTCCCTGGCGCGCGGAGCGCGCCAGTGGTGGCGCCAGAGGCGCCGCGAGGGGGGGCACAGCGCGGATCCAGGAAATCCGCGCGGAGAAATGGCGCGCACCAAACAAAAAAAAAAAATTTTAAGTTCATGTGGTGCTGGTTTTGTCCCGTTCTGTTTTGCTCTCCGATCCTCGTCGTCGGCCACGAACAGCACCACCTGGCCCTTGGGCATCCCGTGGCGGCCGAGGAACGCCAGGGTCCGCACGAGGATGAACGGCTCCTCGGTGTTCGCCAGGCTGCGGTCCGAGGGGTTCACCTCCCGAGCAGGGCGCCAGCGCCCAAGCGTGGGGATGACGATGGTGTAATCCACCCGCGGCGCCTTCAGCTGGTGCGGTGCGTTCGCGACCGCCGTGCCGTCCGTGCCACCGCCCGCCGCAGCGCTGCTGCTGGAGCCGCTGCTGCCGGGGGCCATGCCTAGAAGGCTATAGCACACGGCATGAGCATATAAACTTTTGGCGCGCCGTGCGGGCTTCTGGGATCTGCGCTGGGTCCCTCTGCCTGGCGCGCGGAGCGCGCCAGGGGCAGCGCCGGAGGCGCCGCCCCGGGGGCCCAGCGCGGATCCAAGAAATCCGCGCGGAGCGCCACAAGTTCAGAACCCCCGTTAGCAGAACGTGGAATATAGTAAAAGTGACCTCGGGCCCAGACCTGGCCGGCACATGCCTGAAAGTGACGGCCGCGGCGCCCTCTCGAGAACCGAAAACGGACAATCCACTAATCTAGGGGGGCACATGCAAACCCTACCCCTACTCCCCCACGAGTTCTGAGGGGGAGGGTGGGGTTCGCTCGGCTCGGGAGCTCCCGAACGAAGTGAACCCCACCCTCCCCCTCAGAAATCGTGGGGGGTAGGGGTAGGGTTCGCATGTGGCCCCCTATAATGCGGGATGACGATTAATAAAACAAATGGGAGAGAACGATTCAAAAAAATAGTTTTCTGCGATTTCTGCATAATTTTCTGACTGGAAGAGAACGATTATCCCGGCAAAGCAACCTAAGAGCGATGTGTAGAAGCATATCTGAAAGCATTCCCCTTAAGATTCAGATGAAAATCCAGTTGTCGAATTCTGCTGTTCTCGCAGTCGTAGTCGCATTCGAGATGACAGTCGCAGCGGCAACGGCAGTCGCAGTCACAGCCTCAGCCTCAGCCTGCCTCCTCCTCCTCCTCCTCTTTCTCCTGCTCCTCCTCCTCCTCCTCCTCCTCCTCTTCCTCCTGCTCGTCCTCGTTCTCGTCCTCCTCGTCTTGCTCGTCCTCCTCCTCCTGGTGTTCTCTCCTCCTCCTCCTCCTCCTCCTCCTCCTCCTCCTGGTGGTCCTCGTTCTCCTCCTCCTGGTGCTTCCCCCCCTCTCCCTCGTCTCCTCTCCTCCTCTCCTCTTCTCCTCCTCCTCCTCTTCCCTCCTCCTACCTCCTCTCCTCTGGTCAACCTGGAGAGAGCCTCCTCTCTTCCCCCTTCTCCTCTCCTCTTTCTGGTGTCCTCGTTTCTCCGTCCTCCTCGTCTTTGTCGTCTTCTCCTCTGGTGTTCTTCTCCTCCTCCTCCACCTCCTCCTCATACCTCATCTCTCTTGGTGGTACTCGTTTCTTCCTCCTCCTGGTACTCTCCCCCCCCCCTCCTCCGCATCCTCCTCGTTCCTCGTCCTCCTCTCTCCTCCTCCCTCCTCTTCCTCCTCCTCCTCCTCCACCTCCCTCTCCTCCTCCTCTTCTCGCGTCCTGTACCTGGTACTCCTCCTCCTCCTCCTCCTCCTCCTCCTCCTCTTCCTGGTCGTCCTCCTCCTCCTGGTCGTCCTCCTCCTCCTGCTCGTCCTCCTCCTCCTACTGCTCGTCCTTCTTCTCCTGCTCCTCCTGCTCCTCGTCCTGCTCCTGCTCGTCCTCGTCCTCCTGGTCTTGCTCGTCCTCCTCCTCGTCGTGCTCTTGCCCCTGCTGAAAATGTGGCCCAGGACTGGGAGTGGCCCAGGATTGGAGTTCTGGGAACTAGAAGAACACGAAGTGGCCTACAGTTGGCTCCGGGCATTCAAAATCATGCCCAGGAATGGAGTTCTGGGAACTTGAAGAGCACGAAGTGGCCTACAGTTGGCTCCGGGCATCCAAAATGTGGCCCCGGAATGGAGTTCTGGGAAATCGAAGAGCACGAAGTGGCCTACAGTTGGCTCCGGGCATCCAAAATGTGGCCCGGGAATGGAGTTCTGGGAAGTCGAAGAGCACGAAGTGGCCTACAGTTGGCTCCGGGCATCCAAAATGTGGCCCGGGAATGGCGTTTTGGGAACTCGAAGAGCACGAAGTGTGTGACTGTTGCATCCGGCCCCCCAGAATGTGGCCCGGGAATGGCGTTCTGGGATGTCGAAGAGCACTTTGTGTGTGACTGTTGCATCCGGCCCCCCAGAATGTGGCCTGGAATGGAGTTCTGGGAAGGCGAAGAGCACGAAGTGTGTGACTGTTGGTGAAAAACGAGCCCGGCTCATGCCGCCCGGAAACGCCCCAACACCTGCCCGGACCCCCCTGTGGAGTGATCTGTGAGCTCTTTTGAGACCACTAGAAACCTATCAGTCTTCGCTGTTAGGTAATTAAAAAATTATCCCGGCAAAGCAACCTAACAGCCATGTGTAGGAGCATATCTGGCAGCATTCCCTCAGCCTGCATCAGCCTCAGCCTCAGCACGAAGCGACCTAGCTAGAAGGACAAAGCGCTGAATGTACACCGATGTGTTCGACGACTGCGTATGTAATGATGTGACGATATAGAGACTGAGCCCTTCGTGAATGTCTACATGTTTTTCCGACGCCTACAAACGGCGCTGACGTGTGTGAGAAAATTGTCCGCGCGGCAAAAGCCGGCGAAGCGTGCGGGAGCTCGCATGCTGAGACAGACTACGTCTGCAGACCGCCAGCTGCAAAAGCTTGCGAGCGGCTCTTGGAAGATGTTTACGGAACGGAGCTACGGAGCTCACCGCAGGAACTCGCATACTGAAAAGGAATGCATCGAAACCGCACGCTGCGAACCCTGCAGGCTGAGAAGCACCGCAGGATGTCGCATGCTGAAAAGCACTTGTACTGCAGAGCGCTAGCATTCCATCTCGGGCTCGGACCCCCCCGTCCTGATCCAGAACGTGTCCGCGACACGTGCAGGCTCACCGCGCACAGCTGCACACGAGCGCAGGCTGAGAAGCACCACGCGCATGCAGGCTGAGAAGCACCACGCGAATGCAGACGGACAGACTGAACAGCACCGCCACAACGCAACCTGCATCTCATGACTCCTCAAGCTCGCGCAGGCCATCCCAGTTGCTGTCGGGCCTTCGCGCAAGCGATCTTCGTCGCGGCAATCTTGTCCGTGAAGAGCTCGGCGAAGGCCTTGGCGATCTGTTCCGGGGGGCCGGATTCGATGATGCTCCGGTCAGGCAAGCCGTGGCTCAAGAGTTGGTTGAAGCTTCTGGGGCGCGACAGGCTGACGTAGTAGGCAAGCCAAATGGACTCCTTCTTGAGTCCTGGCGGAAACGTCCAGTGCACGATGAAGCCTGGGTCCGTCGTCTTGCCCTGGACGCCATGCAGAGTCCCCTGCTTTTTGGGCAGCACGGTCAACTGCGTCCTGGACACCGCGATGGCCGGGCCACCTGTCTTCGCTTTGAACTTCCAGGGGCGCGCCTGCGGGGTGATCGCGAGCACTCCGCGCAGGTCGGGGCCGGCAGGCTGAGAAGCACTGTTAGCTGTCACCGGCGCGGCCTTCAAGAAAAGTTCATCGCTGTCATCGATCTTGACATAGACGGCCTTTGGCATGTAGTAGAGTACGACCACGCCGTCCGAGACAATGGACGGGCGGCCCTCAACCGGAGGCTCCAGAGCGTGCAGCTCTATGCCTACCACTTTGCCTGGCGCGCCACGGACATACTTCGGCGGCAAGACGGATTCTGTCAGGATGACCTCCATGCCAACGAAGAGCGGCAGCAGCCCCGGCATTTTTGCGGTAGCGCCGATGTTGGGCTCCGCGCGCATCTCGTCGTAATCAGGCTTCGCGAGGCGCGCAGCTGGTCTGTCGATTGCTGGGACGTAAAAGAGCAGCTGGCCAGCATCGTGCGCATCAAGCTTGGCCTGTGCATGCATGGCGTAAGAGACGATGCGCCACTCATAGGCCGACTCGTACCAGCCTCGTGCTGCACGCAACCGAGGGTCCCACTGAGGTGGCTGAGCGGCTTGGCTGCTGCTGGCAGCAGGCTGAGCAGCACCGCTAGAGCTAACGACCTCTGTTTTGACGATCGCCTGCCAGCTCTCGTCAGAGATCTTTTTTCCGCCTGGAGTTCTCATGGCGTGGAGAACCTCGAGTTGCAACGGGTCTGTAAAGCGCTGCATCTGCACGAAATCGATGACGTACTCGATGTCGGCGAGCAACTTCCTACCCTGTTGGTGTTCGTAGGATTGGCCCGCGTGAGGCGCCAGCAGGGAAGCGGTGGCGGGGACTGGCGGCAACTGGTAGAAGTCTCCGCACAAGATCTTCACAGGCATGCGTCCCCACGTCTCCTGCGGGCGCATGTACTTCGCGGGGTCCAGGTTGTAGCGCAACGCCCTGCCGTAGGTCGTGCGCAGTGCATCTGCATGCAGCAAAGGCCCCGGCACGGCACCCAGCTCATCGATCACGTCGACGCCGAGTGTGCCTGTGAGGCGATCCAGCTTTTTCTGCGTCTGTGGCGTCAAGCGCAGCCTGGCTGTCTGCATGGAATCCGACATGAGCAGGCCATTGGAGGAATGCATGGTCCTGCCGCGCGGGCCGAGGTTGTGTGCGGCGTGGTTGGACTGCGCTTTGCCGAGGTACCCCTGCTCGCCGAAGTAAGTGATGGCCATCGGCTCCACCACTTTGGAGAGGGTGCGCGTCTTGCCGACACCGCCTCCACCGAGCCAGATCGCTCTGTGGTTGCCTGTCGCGGACGCCACGGGGAGGAGATGCGTTGTCTTGTCTGGTCTGCCGTCAAAGCGTTTCTGCAGAGACAACGCAAACAACGCCACCGCGTCAATCTGCTCCTCCGTGCAGTGGGCATCAGTGACGAGCTTCCACGCAACAGCCGCCGGGCCCTGCATGGCCAAGAGCTGCGGAACGAGTTCTGGTTGGGCGTCCTCGGCAGCAGGCTGAGGAGCACCGCTGGGGAGCCAGTCGTCCGCAGCATCGGGCAAGATCTCTCCATCCGGGCTCGCTTGCTTCTTTTGGAGCGCAATGCTTTGCCGCTGTAGGGCGAGCATGTCAGAGAAGGTCTCGTCCAGCCGCGTGCCCTGATGTTCCCGCGCGCCGCTGCTGGCTGGCAGTGCAAAGCTGGGCTGCAGCATGCCGCTGTACGCTCGGTCGAGGTTCTTCAACTGCTTATCGGCGTAGCTGAGGCGGCCCTTCTGGTCCAAGCGCTGCAGTTGGTCTTGCTGTAGGGCCAGCTCGGTTGCTCTGACGT